AGGACGCCCAAGGCATCTCACATCATCTCACAACATCCAAAACACCATAAAACATTCTTAAAGGAGTCCCAACACATCCTAGAGTTGTTGGTCGGAAAGGGGGTCCGGCTCAGCGAGTATAACTCGACCGAACTGATGCGCATGCTACCTTCCGGTCCAACGGTTCGATGGAGTGTAGAGGATGGAGAGGGTAGACCGTTTGTCTTAGAGACGAATCGGATCTGGTAGACCGATCGTTGGATCGGATCGGCCAGACCGATCATCAGACGGATCGGCCAGACCGATCGTCAGACGGATCGGATCGGCCAGACGGATCGGACAGACCGATCGTTGGACGGGTCGGATGGGACAGGCCGATCGTCTGACGGAACGGGTCGGACAGACCGATCGTCGGATGGGATGGATCGAGAAAAGTGTTCGAGGAGGCACAAGGATAAGTGCATCCGAACACACCCAAGGGTCGCCCATGGATGCAATCTTACCGATAAAGGGAGAAAGCACCAAGAATGGGTAAGGAACGTGATTCACCATATAGGATCAACATCGCGGCCGCCTTCATGTATCTATCTCCTCAGCCATGGTGAAACCGATCAGAGATCGGTAAGACCAAAGGGTGACTCGATGGATAACCAACGGGAAAGTCCACGGTGGGAACCGATGGACAAAACGGATGTTGGACCCGCGAGCAAACCTAAGGCCGACGGAAGAAAGATTTCATGGGCTAGCCTACGATGATCCAGTGGATGAATCCACGGACCCTTGGGTATGATAAGGATATCGTTCGGACCGCATGGATGGATCATTAAGCCGAAAGCTTTATCGACCACCATGGACTGGACGGGTAAACGGTTAGTAAACCGTGAGCGGTCGTAGTGTTAAACGACCGGAACGGAAACATGGATGGTTCGATAAGCCGAGGGCTCAATCGTCCACCATGTAGCCGGAGGGGCGTACGTTTGGAGAACGAATGGACCAATAAGCCAAGAGCTTGATTCGGCCATTGTGAACTAAGGGAATCGTACGATCCCCAATCTCTATCGTTGTACTTAGACCAGTGGGGTTGGTTGGTTGTATGGCTAAGTAACGATAGGGATTGGTTCATCAATTCACGACCGATGACGAGTCGTTGAACGAATGGAGTAAGGCGACAAACGGGCTAAGGAATCAAATCCGCATATTGGCCAAGGTATGTAACGATCTAGCTTATTAGTTAAGATAGACGTTTGGTAATTGACCGTGAAAGTAGGATAAAGGAATATGCGATTGTTTGGCTTAGAATGGTTAGCGAACATATGCATGTCTTGACCGAGTAAAGGATCAATCTAAGTCTAAGGGACAAAGACGATGAAACCGGTACAAGAGTTGGTTAGAATTAAACCAAGGTTAGAAAGACTTCCGCTGTGTAATAAGAGAGCGATTATAGAATTTAGCCTCGTAAAGGCAATTCTATGTTGAATCGCGAAAAATTAAGAGGTTCGGCCGGGGAGAGGCGCGAACTTGAATACACGGTCGCCGGACGCCGAGACGTCCGGGACTGGGTCTCACAATATCTTGTTCCCCAAAATGGATTTCTTTTGAGAGCGTTGTAGTAGGCTCCCGGAGTCAGCTTGTCTTCTTTCATTAGGGACTTGGTCGTCTTGTGGGTCTTCTCCGGAATGTACTCCGCATCATCCTCCATCTCTTCATCGACCAACTCATGGTTCTCTGGAAATCTCTTCTCTTCTCCTGTCATTGGCGACTGCTCGCTCTGTTTCCTCCAAAAATCGCCTATACTCCTTTGCTTCTCTCTCTGGCCTAGTTGACCAAGATTCAGCCTCATCAACATTGTAGTCGGCATCCATAGATAACTCGTAGCTGTGTGAACTCATCTTGAAGCTGAAATCGATTTGAAACTCACAACTAAAGCTCAGTAGGTTAGTGAGAAACAAACAAAGACAATGAAAGAAATGACTTCCTGTTGATATAGAGTTGCGATCGAGTAGAATTTGATAGTGAGAGCTGAGGTCGCGATCGAGTGAAGAAAGCAAATGAGAGATAGGGTTGCGATAGAGTAGTTTCTCAGCTTCTGTTTTAGTCAATAACAGCTAGCAACAACGAAAGAGTCGAGAGCGTTTTTGGTAGTGAAGTAGAGAGATAAACAAGAGTGATGTTTTGAAATCACAAGTGATGAAGAAAAGTGAAGAGTAGTGACACTTATCTCCTTTTTGCGATTTGAATGAGTGGAGGAGGTGTGTTGCTTTTAAACGGACGGATGGGATGCAATGCCCGTTATGATGTCGGCAAAGTGATAAGGTGACAAAGCATGGTGCTTTATGTCGGCAGGATGGGGTTCCTTTAAGGCACGCCCTTTGTGATTGAGTATGGGCTGTTGATCCTTTAATTTCGTGTCATGGGCTACAAGTGGACACAGCATGGGCTTTTTGGAGTTTCAGTGGAGATTGAAATCCAGTAGACTTAATGGGACTGAGGTTTGTCATTGACGCTCTGTGGACACTTTCACTCCTCCTTGCGATCTAGTAGAAAGTTGTTATCCCGAAACTTCTAGATCGCACTCCTGAGCTTTCACTCCTATGTTGTGATCGAGTATTTGAATTTTTTTTGTAAAATTTTTATTTGAACACTCGATCACATCCTTGTTGATCACTCCAGCTGTTATTCATTTCCTGAGAATCAAAGACACAACCAAAACGAATCAAAAGTAACAAATAAATAAAAAGTATATACAGGGATAGTCATGGGACTTCCTCCCAAGTGAGCTTGTTTATAGTCTCTAGCTTGACTCCTCAAACTAATCAAGTGGAGAAAATGGGACAGAGGGAACTTGAGAAGTCCTCCTCTTCACTGATCTCATCATCATACTCAGCATCCTCCCTTGACAGTTGCACAGCTGAGTATTCAATTCTTCTTTCCTCATAGTAGGTTGCTTCCTCCTGTGGAGGATAGTCTTTCTCTTCTGACCAATCTCAGGTGATCTCCTTTCTTGAAATTGTGTCATGGTTGAGCTGGGGCTGAACCTCCTTTTGCATTCGACTTTGTTTGTCTCTAAGCTTTTCAACAGTGTAGCTCAGCTTGTGAATGGTTATGTTCTGGAGATCAGTCTTCCTTTTGAGTTCCAGCCAATCAAGTGAGGAGGGTATACTCGATCGAGTAGTCGAATTTGAAGGCTTAGTCTAAACTAAAATTTCTTCTTTCCCTCTATTGATCTCAAGGCCTTCACTTGGAACCGCTCTCTGGATCTCTAAGGTTTTTCCTTCTATTGGTGACCTTGTCGGAAATTTGTTGATGTCAAACTGTAACTTGACATGCCTCCCAAGGTTGAGATCAATCTTACCATATCTGACATCTATTACTGCTCCCACTGAGGCTAAGAAAGGTCTTCCTAAGATCAGAGGATCCTTAGACTCTTCATCCATTTCAAGCACGACAAAATCAGTAGGTACCTCAACTACATTTACCATTACTGGCACGTTTTCTAGAATGCTGAAAGGTCTCCTTGAAGTTCTATCAACAAGGATCAAAGTGATGTCACAGGGCTTGTACTGAACGAATCCCAGCTTCCTTGCCACAGAGAGTGGCATTAAACTGACTGAGGCTCCTAGATCACAGAGACAATTGTCGAAAGTCGATTGCCTAATGGAACATGGCAGAGTGAAAGATCCTGGATCTTCCAGCTTCTCTTGAATAATCCTCTCACCAACGGCTTGACGCATATTGACATCGTCTTCGTCATCTGAATCCTGATACATGTTAAGCCTTTCTAGTATCAAGTTTCTCACATCTTTGTGAGGGTCTGAAATCAACTTGAGGACTTCTACTAAGGGCATCACAGCTTCCATCTCATCAAGTTGTTTTTCTGCCAGAGATTCATATCTGCTTTTCAAAGCTTTCCTGAACATCCATGGAAGAGCAAGTGATGGTGATGGAGCTGGCTTGAATCGTTTTACCATCCTCTCGATTATAGCAGCCTTCTCCTCCAAGTCAGACTGAGACTGATAGAAAGGTTGAGCTGAATAGTCGATCTCAGCAACAGAGACTTCAATCTGAGTGGAAGCCTGCCCTTCTTGAATTACACTGTCCTCAGTGTTCGATGTAGAGACATGTTGAGTTGGCAGCTCTCGCTCATGTCTGATAGTGATTGCGTGTGCAGTGGCATACTCCTTAGGGTTCTGGATTGCTTTTCCTGGAAGCTGGCCTGGGTTGTTTGTAATAGGTGGTGAAGTAGTGATGCCGTCCAGATATCGTACCCTTGTGTTCAATGATTCCAACCTGCTACTCAGTTCATTGAACTGTCTGTCAAATTTGTTGTTTAAGTCAGCTAGCTTCTTAGCGGTTTCCATTACCCCCGCGGCTTGGCCTTGCATGATCTGTTGGAGCATATTCTTGATGTCTGACTCCTGGGTGCAGAGGCCTGATGTTGTTGTGGTGTGAAACCAGGTGGTGGCTGTTGCTGTTGATACCCTCCTTGGAACTGCTGCTTAGGAACGAACCCTTGGCTTTGGTTGTAAGGAACAAACAGTTTGGTTTTGTTCTTCTGCTGCTGCTGTTGAGGGTAAACTTGGTCCTGAGGATTGACGACATTTGTGCTTCTGTATGACAGATTTGGGTTGGGTCTATAATTGTTGTACCCTTTGTTGTAGCCGCCTTGGTTCTGAACATAACTGATTTCAGCGCCCTGATCATTCTCCCCTTCTTGGATTTGGAATACTTCGTCTTCAGAGGCGAATTGAACATGCTTCTGCTGCACTTGGAGGAGTTTGTCGATTTTGTAGTTGAGAGCTTTAATCTCTCGGCGGTGCTTGTCATCAGATTCAGTACTGGTGTGGATGCTTCTGTCATAATCCTCGTTGTAATTGCCATCCGACTGAGCCAAGTTTTCAACTAGCTCCCATCCGTCTTCGACATCCTTGTTCAGGAAATTCCCGTTGGAGGCGGTGTCAAGGAGCATACGTATCTTAGGAAGGACGCCTCTGTAAAGTGTGCTGAGAAGGGAAGCTTGCTTAAATCCGTTATGAGGGCATTTGGTTTGATAACCCTTCAAGCGCTCTCAAGCTTCACAGAAGCTTTCATTTTGCTTCTGAGTGCATGCGGATATCTAATTCCGGAGTCTTGCAGTCCTGGAGTTGGAGAAGAATTTTGCCAAGAAGGCCTTTTTGCAGTCATCCCAGGTCGTGATTGATCTATGGGGTAGCGTCTTTTCCCACAGATGGGCTTTATCTCCAAGTGAAAATGGAAACAAGCGAAGCTTGAAACCATCTTCACTAACTCCAATGATTTTAGTAAGGCCACAGAGCCTTTCGAACTAGTCAAGATGATCTAGCGGATCCTCCATTGGCAGGCCATGAAACTTGTTCCCCTGAACTATTGCAATGAGACCGCTTTTGATCTCAAAGTTGTTGTTCTGTACTGGAGGTGGAACAATTCCATGACGCTGGTTGTGGTTGTGAAGGAAGTCACCAGCACCAATGTTGGTAGGTTGCTCTGGCTCATCAACAACGTCAGCCATTGTATCGGTTTCTGTTTGTTCTCTCAGTTGGCGAGCAATACGGTCGATGTTATCGTTGAATAGGAGGTTCGGATTTCCTTGTGACCGTGTACGCATGCAAGGTACTTGAAACACAAAGACAGAAAAGGCACAATGTTAGTAACTTGTGTAACAAAAACGAACTTGATCTTAACGTTTCTAATGATCTCAAATATAGCAAACAAACACCAAACTGGCAACGACGCCAAATTGATAGTAAGATTTTTCTCAATTAATCCTAAAACACTATCCTGTCGTTGTAGTATATTAGGATGTCAATCCAATCCGGTGTGATGCAAACATATGAGATATGATCAGAAAGCTCTAAGTCAAGCCAAGCAGAAAGTTGGTTGGTTCTAACAGTCCTAGGATGTGATAACAGAAATGAAATGAAACTAAAAGCAGATATGGCAATAGAAGGCAGGTGAATAACAAAGGAGAAATGATAACAAATAATCAAATGGATAAACGATTCCTTAGGATGGGGTAATCGAATAGTGTGGTCTCCTTAATCTATTGAGGCGGTTGACAAAACTTCACAGAATTTATCCCTAGACAACAAGTTCAACAACAGATTAATTCACTCCCGTGATAGAAATCCTCAAGCAAAGCTAAACACTGACCTAAATCCCTTTAGCGATCTCTAACTAAGCAGGCATTATTGAAAATACAAAGTCGCAGGAGAAACACTGCGGATATGAAAGTTACAAAATAGACGAGATAATAACGGATGCCCTAGGGAAAACCCTAAGAGGCAGTTTATATAAGCGAGAAATGAAACAAATAAGGAAACTAAATATATAGCAAATCTTCACGTCATGATCCCGCAACCGAATGTGTCATTGGCATCTGACGGGCTGAAATGAGCTTCCCAGTGATCGAGTATGTCATTGATCAAACTGGGCTTCAGGAGCTCCGCCTTGCGATCGAGTGAGATGCAGTGAAGTCGAGATTGAATGGTCCAGCGACCCTGTGATCGAGTGCGATTGACTGGATGTCATGAGGTGGTGATCGAGTGGTTGCTTCGGCTTCTATTCCCTTCTTCGTCCTTAGCTTGTCTGGTTGAGTGTAGAACGAGCACATAGGCCTTCTAGTGATCGAGTGGTGATCGAGTGGTTCTGATGGGGTGATTCCTCTGGCTTCGCGATTGATTGAAAGTGAGCTGCTTGCTTCTCCGGGGTTGCGATAGAGTGATTGACCCCGAGAGGGCTCCGAGGCAGCGATAGAGTACTTTTGTTGAAGGCGTCATTGGGCATTCTGACTTCATGTTCTGTTTTTCCTCTATCTGAACTTCAAAAGCATCCAAAGTACCTGAAAACAACCAAATATGCCATGCACATGCAATCCTAATGCAAAATCGTCCTAAGTATGTAAATCACACTAAAACGACTCCTAATGAATGAAATGTGGATGAAACAATGACAAAGTGGTGAAGAATGAATGCCTAAATCATGCAAATTATAGACATATCAAAAAATAAGACCAATTTGTGACCAAACCGATACAAAACATGTGACCAAATTGTGACTAAAATCTTTGCAATGTAAGACTGTCACATTCGTCCCAAAAATGTCACTACTTGTGCCTCGTTGCATTTTAGTCGGAAATTTACAACTTCTAGCCGTGGTCACAAACCAGTCGTTGTATTACGACTAAACAAACGTCATCATTAAACGGTCGCTAATATGCGACTATTTTGCGACCGTTTTTTAGCGACCGTTTTTGTTAGTCGTTAAGTAGTCGTAAAAGACTTATTGCGACCGTTTTGGGACTAATATCGAAGTCGCAAAAAGCATGTTTTCTTGTAGTAACAACTAGAACCGCAACCGGATTTTAAAAGCCTAAGTATTGTATCCTTGTTGGAAGATACAAAGACAAAGACTCATACGAACTTCGGCTACACCATCAAAGCTTTCAGAAGCAAGAAAAAGTTTGGTTAGTGTTTTGGAGTCGAATATGACTTGATGTTATGTGTATGATTGAGTATAAGAACTTCAACCGTAAATGGGTCTTAAAAGCCTAAGCAGGGTTTCCTTGTTAGAAGATACAAAGCCAAAGACTCATACGGACTTCATCTACACCATCAAAGCTTTGAGAAGCAAGAAGAAGCATGGTTAGTATTTTGGAGTCAAATATGACTTGATGTCATGTGTATGATTGAGTATAAGAACAAGAATTGCTATTGGATATTAAAAACCTCAGTAGTGCTTTCTTGCTAGAAGATACAAAGACAAAGACTCATACGGACTTTGGCTACATTATCAAAGTTTTGAGAAGCAAAATGAAGCTTGGTTAGTGTTTTGGAGTCGAATATGATTTGATGTTATGTATATGATTGAGTATAAGAACTTAAACCGTAACCGGATCTTAAAAGCCTAAGTAGTGTTTCCTTGTTAGAATATACAAAGCACACGATTCATACGGACTTTGGCTACTACATCAAAGCTTTGAGAAGCAAGAAGAAGCTTGGTTAGTGTTTTGGAGTTGAATATGACTTGATGTCATGTGTATGATTGAGTATAAGAACTTAAACAGCAATAGAATCTTAAAACCCTAAGTAGTGTTTCCTTCTTAGAAGATACAAAGCCAAAGACTCATACAGACTTCGGCTACACCATCAAAGCTAGGAGAAGCAAGAAGAAGCTTGGTTAGTGTTTTGGAGTCGAATATGACTTGATGTCATGTGTTTGATTGAGTATAAGAGCTTAAACCACAACCGGATCTTAAAAGCCTAAGTAGCGTTTCCTAGTTAGAATATACAAAGCACACGATTCTTACGGACTTCGGTTACACCATCAAAGCTTTGAGAAGCAAGAAGAAGCTTGGTTAGTGTTTTGGAGTCGAATATGACAAGATGTCATGTGTATGATTGAGTATAAGAACTTAAACAACAACCGGATCTTAAAAGCCTAAATAGTGTTTCCTTGCTAGAAGATACAAACCCAAACACTCATACGGACTTCGGCTACACCACCAAAGCCTTGAGAAGCAAGAAGAGGCCTTGTTAGTGTTTTGGAGTCAAATAGTACTATATGTCATGTGTATGAGTGAGTATAACAACTAGAATCGCAACCGGATCATAAAAGCCTAAGTAGTGTTTCCTTGTTAGAAGATACAAAGATAAAGACTCATACGGACTTCAGCTACACCATCAAAGTTTTGAGAAGCATTAAGAGGCTTGGTTAGTGTTTTGGAGTAAAATATGACTAGATGTCATGTGTATGAGTGAGTATAACAACTAGAACCGTTACCGGAGCTTAAAAGGCTAAGTATTGTATCCTTGTTAAAAGAAACAAAGACAAAGACTCATACTTACTTCGGCTACACCATCAAAGCTTTGAGAAGCAAGAAGAAGCTCGGTTAGTGTTTTGGAGTCGAATATGACTTGATGTCATGTGTCTGATTGAGTATAAGAACTTAAACCGCAACCGTATCTTAAAAGCCTAAGTAGTGTTTCCTTATTAGAAAATACAAAGCCAAAGACTCATACGGAGTTTAGCTACACCATCTAAGCTTTGAGAAGCAAGAAGAAGCTTGGTTAGTGTTTAGGAGTCAAATATGACTTGATGTCATGGGTATGAGTGAGTATAACAAGTAGAACCGTAACCAGATCTTAAAAGCCTAAGTATTGTATCCTTGTTAGAAGATACAAAGACAAAAACTCATACGGACTTCGGCTACACCATCAAAGCTTTGAGTAGCAAGAAGAAGCTTGGTTACTGTTTTGGAGTCAAATATGACGTGATGTTATGTGTATGATTGAGTATAAGAACTTCAACCGTAAATGGGTCTTAAAAGCCTAAGCAGGGTTTCCTTGTTAGAAGATACAAAGCCAAAGACTCATACGGACTTCATCTACACCATCAAAGCTTTGAGAAGCAAGAAGAAGCATGGTTAGTATTTTAGAGTCAAATATGACTTGATGTCATGTGTATGATTGAGTATAAGAACAAGAACTTCTATTGGATATTAAAAACCTCAGTAGTGCTTTCTTGCTAGAAGATACAAAGACAAAGACTCATACGGACTTTGGCTACATTATCAAAGTTTTGAGAAGCAAAATGAAGCTTGGTTAGTGTTTTGGAGTCGAATATGATTTGATGTTATGTGTATGATTGAGTATAAGAACTTAAACCGTAACCGGATCTTAAAAGCCTAAGTAATGTTTCCTTGTTAGAATATACAAAGCAAACGATTCATACCAACTTTGGCTACTACATTAAAGCTTTGAGAAGCAAGAAGAAGCTTGGTTAGTGTTCTGGAGTTGAATATGACTTGATGTCATGTGTATGAGTGAGTATAAAAACTAGAACCGCAACGGATCTTAAAAGCCTAAATATTGTATCCTTGTTAGAAGATACATAGACAAAGACTCATACGGAATTCGGCTAAACCATCAAAGCTTTTAGAAGCAAGAAGAAGCTTGGTTAGTGTTTTGGAGTGAAATATAACTAGATGTCATGTGTATGAGTGACTATACCAACTAGAACCACAATTGTAATTTTAAAAGCCTAAGTATTGTATCCTTGTTAGAAGATACAAAGATAGAGACTCATACGGACTTCGGCTACACCATCAAAGCTTTG